CGCCAGGTTGCGAAGCTGCCAGCAGCCTCTGCAGCGCTGGTTCGATCCCCGGCTGCTCCCCGGCCACTGGAGGAGGGTCCCACATGGCGCGCAGACCTCTCCTGCCGCCCGCTGCTCCCCTCAGCAGTGTACTTCGGTCCTTCTGCCTGCTCTGCTCCTCGCTCTGGCTCTGGTGAATTCTCTCACCCTCCCACGCTTCTGACTGTACCCAGTGCTTGTATAAATAAAAAGACAAATCTTTAAAAAAAAAAAAATTTAAATGTCTGACATCAAGTGTTGGGAGGTCTGCAATTATGGGAACTCATTTTAATATTGCCTACGAGAATGTTAAATGCTCTAGAAAGAGACTTGGCATTATTTGGAAAAGTTTAACTTCATCGTGTCTTAGTCAGTAACAAAGCACTCCAAACCTTGATGATTTAAAACAATGATTTGTAATTATTCACAGCTCTTTGGATTAACTGGGTTCTTTTTTTTTTTTTTAAAAAAAGATTTATTTATTTATACAAGAACTGGGGTACAAGCCAGAGGCGTGGGAGGGTGAGAGAATTCACCATGACAGAGCGGGGAGCAGAACGGGCAGATGACCGAAAGCACTGCTGAGGGGAGCAGTGGGCGTGACAGGAGAGATCTGCCGTGCCATGTGGGAATCTCCCTGGCTGGCCGAGAATCGAACCCGTGCCGCAGAGGCTGCGGACAGCTTCACAGCGCTGCACTCAACCCGCTGTGCCAGCGAGGCCCTACTCTACATATTATAAGTTGAAGTCACCTGTTAGTATTTAGCTGGGTCCTTGACTGTACCTGAAATATCCTGAATTGCTTCTCTCATCATTTGGTGATCCTGTCCCTCCTCTTTGCAGCATGGATCTGAATTCCAAGAGGGTGAATGTGGGAGCTGCCTTCATTTTATTGGCTGGCCTTGGAAGTCCCAGGATACCACTTCCATCACATTCTGTTGCTCAAAAAAGTTTGTAAGGCTAACCCAGACACACAGGGAAAGTGAAAATAATACTGCTCTTGATGGGAGGAATGCTAAAGGATTTATGGTCCTTTTAATCAGCAACAATGTCCTATAATCTAGCAGTTTTCCACAGTAGGTATATGCCCGAGAGAAACTCTTGCATCTGTGACTGGAGGAAGTGTGCAAGAATATTTATAGCAGCATTGTTCACAATAGAAAACAACAACAGGAAACCATCCTGAAAAGTCCATAAACAGCAGAGTGAATAAATAATTTATGGTATGTTCATATATGGATTTTTACCCCCAACTTTCAGATATTTATTAATTGGTGTGCACCCCAACATGATATGCCAACACAATTTCATGTATTTAGAGGGGAGGGAAGTATTTCTTGGTTAAGTGGAAAATTGTACGAATGGCTTTGGAAGACCTTCATTTTAAACAGTTATATAGTGAAATGTTTCATTTAGAAGTCTACCTTTTCTCCAGTTTGCTGTCATCTTTGTTCACTGAGTAGAACTAGTACTGAACATTGGGACCCAGTTTGCTCCAGGGCTCTGGGGTATTCTTTCTTTCTTTTTTTTTAAAGATTTATTTATTTATTTATACTAGCACTGGGTACATCAGAAGCACGGGAGGGTGAGAGAATTCACCAGAGCCAGAGCAGAGAACAGAACAGGCAGACTGACGAAATACACTGCTGAGGGGAGCAGCGGGCGGCAGGAGAGGTCTGCGCACAATGTAGGACCCTTGCCGGCGGCCGGGAAGTGAACCGGAGCTGCAGAGGCTGTGCGCAGCTTCGCAGCCCAGCGCTCAACCGCTGCGCCACCAGGGGAGGCACTCTGGGGTATTCTTTCTGTCCCAACTGACATTAGGATAGAGCAGTGCCAGGCACATGGCCTACAGCACTACTCTAATACCTCTGCCTCCAATAAATACAAAGAGGAGGATCAAGCTAGGATGCTTCTTGGCCTGACCACAGAGCAATCCTCCTCACAAAGGAAGTGGAAGAGAATGAATCTGCAAGACCTGGGACTGAGTCTTTGCACTGAAACTCCATATATGGAACATTATACATTAAAGTAAAATAAGTGTAGCTATTTGTGCCAACATGAACAAATCTCCAATCAATGTTTTGTGAAAGAAGCAAATCATAGAATAACATATGTCATGTGAATCAGTTACATAAAATTAAAAATTAGGTAAAAACTAAATAGTGTATTGTTTAGACCATGGCTAGGCAAACTTTTCTGTAAAGGGCTAGATAGTAAATATTTCAGGCTTTGTTGTCAAGAGGCAAATTGGAGATTTACGTGACTATATAACGTGAAGTATATATAACAAGAGAAAACCAATTCCACAATACTTAGGTTTGGTGAAATTAAAAATAATTAGTACAATTATTTTGTAATACAGATATAATAAGAATGAAATTCCTTTATTTTGGGCAGAGGGGTGAAGTATTGGCTTGCTAGGCCTGCCATAACAAAGTACCACAAATAGATGCTTTCATAATTCTGGAGACTAGACATCTGAAATCATGGTGTCAATAGAGCCACGAGTTCTCTGAAATTCTGGGTAGAATCCTTTTTGACTTCTTCCTAGCTTCTGGAGATAGCTGGCAATCCTTGGCATCTTAAGTTGTAGCTGCAGCCTTCCAGTCTCTGCCTCTGTCATCAGATGGAATTCTTCCAGTGTTGTCTGTCTTCACATTATCTTTCCTTTTCTTGTAAAGACCCCAGTCATATTGGTATCCTTACAAGAAGTCATATTGGTGTCTTTATAAGAGGAACTGTGTAAGGGCCTACCCTCCTCCATTATGACCTCATCTTAACTAATTACATCTGCAACAACCTTGTTTCAAATAAGGTCACATTCTGATGCACTGGAGGTTAGAATTTAAACATATCTCTTTGGAAGGTACAATTCAAGAATTGTATCTTGAATTGTGCTACTTAATTGGGGTTCAAAATTGGTGTTCTGTATCACCAAATTGATCATAAATATTCATCTGTGAAAACCATTCTTTGCTCTAGGAGTATACAGGAACAGATGGAAGGTCAGGTTTCTCAGCTTAGACTTAGATATATAGGTATTGGGAACAATAATAAAACAAGGGAATGAGTAATACTATTTAAAGTCATTGTTACTTTGTGGGGTAGAGGAGGAAGAAGATGCTGGAGAGAAGTAAACAGAAACATTAGTTTATACACTTTTTTTTTGTATGTTTGCTATAGTTCTTTAAAAATAGTCTTCCTCTCTTTTACTTCTCGCCCCTTCCTTCTTACCATACTAGTTATTCCTTGTTTTAAAACCATCTGTCACTTTCACCTCTGATCTTTTATGTCTAGAGAGTAGTCCTCCTGATCTTGGCAAGAGCCTTATGTTCTTTTTTTTTTTTTAAATACTTATTTATTTATTTATTTTTAATAGAGGCATGTTTATTTATTTATTTATTTGTTTGTCTGTTTGTTTGTTTTGTCCATACATGCACTGGGTACAGTCAGAAGCGCGGGAGGGTGAGAGAATCCACCAGAGCCAGAGTGGGGAGCAGAGCAGGCAGAAGGACCGAAGTACACTGCTGAGGGGAGCAGCGGGCGGCAGGAGAGGTCTGCGCACCATGTGGGATCCTCCTCCGGTGGCCGGGGAGCAGCTGGGGATCGAACCGGCGCCACAGAGGCCGCGGGCAGCTTTGCAACCCAGTGCTCAACCGCTGCGCCACCGGGGAGGCCCAAGCCTTATGTTCTTTTGTTAACAAGCCTCTTTATCTATTTACTCCAGCCTCTGGTTACTGTTCCCTTTTCTCTGTGTCATTGTCACTTTTGCTGTCCCCCTCATTATCCCTTTAGGCATGCTTTTTTATTCACCTTTAGAAAGGAGATAAGATAGCATGGTCCCCTTTCTATGACCTGACCTTGTTTTATGTGTCCTCACCTAACAACTCAGCAAAAAGTTTAAAGTTAAGATGAGGAAATGCAAAGAATAAATGTATACAGAGAACTTTCCTAAGTACATTTGGATGAGAGAATCTGATTAATATTCTGAGCTCTTTGCCAACCTTATCGTTTTGTTTGTTAGCGTAACAGCTTTATTGAAATGTAATTCACACAACCTCACAAATCATACATTTAAAGTGTACAATTAAGGGGCCTCCTTGGTGGCACAAGGGGTTAAGTGTGAGTACTATGAAGCTATCAGCAGCCACTGCAGCATGAGTTTGATCCCTGGCCAGGGAGCTGACCCTCGTGGCCCAGCAGACCCCTGTCTCGCCTGCTGCTCCCCTCAGCAGTGTATTTCAGTACATCTCCCTGTTCTGCCCCCTACTCTTGTCTCTGGCAAATCCTCTCACACCCACCCCACCCCCGCACACCTCTGGCTTGTACCCCAATTCTTGTATGCATAAATAAATCTTAAAAAAAATAAAGTGTACAATTAAGTGACTTAGTATAATCAGAGTTGTGCAAACTTTACCACAATTTATTTATTTATCTTAAAAGATTTATTTATTTATGCATACAAGAACCGGGGTGTAGGCCAGAGGTGCAGGGGTGGGAGTGAGTGAGAGGGTTCACCAGAGACACAGTGGGAACAGAACAGGCAGATTGACTGAAGTACACTGCTAAGGGGAGCAGCAGGCAAGTCAGGAGAGGTCTGCTGCGCCATGTGGGTCACTTCTCTGGCTGGGAATCAAACTCAGGCCGTAAGGGTGAATAGTGCTGAGACTTAACGCCTCAAAAATAAGCTTTAACTCTTTTTCTGTAGGAAAAAATCCAGGTTTCTATAGTTTATTTTTTTAATTCTTCATTTCTCCTTAAGATTTCTCATTTCTACAGATCTTGTTTACCAAAGAACAACTGCAGTTGTAATACATAAAATATCATTGTGCAGTGGGAGTGCACTGGAGTTGTTAGCTATGAGATGGGAGGAGAAAATTTCACAGAGGAGGGAACATGTATTGAGAAAACGAGCCTGAATTCCTGATTACAAGTTAATAAAACTTTGCGGTTCCTAATAAGATCACATCTGTTCTGTTGCAGGAAGCTAGCGGGATGTACAGTTTTCATCACAGGCGCAAGCCGAGGCATTGGCAAAGCTATTGCATTGAAAGCAGCAAAGGATGGAGCAAATATTGTCATTGCTGCCAAGACCACCCAGGCGCACCCCAAACTTCCAGGCACAATCTATACTGCTGCTGAAGAAAGTGAGTGTGACACTGCTATTTCCTGAAATGTCCTCGCTGGGCTTTCAATAAATAGAGAATTTACTGGAGGGTTGAATTATAGCCATGTGAAAGCTACCCTAGAAATAATTTTATCTAGCTAAAGAAGTATTTTGTTCCCTTGGATTAGTGATTTGGAACTATTTTTTCTCTCTCAGCAATTTTGAGTGATATGAGACTCCTATTAAAAATCAGGTCTCATGGGAGCAGTGGATCTTGGATGGGAGCAGAAAATGGGGAAATGGAAGTGGAGAGGAAAGAATCTGAGCGGTGAATGATATGAACACTTTGCTCTTTCCATGGTTTTTATCCTCTGCACAATTTGCAAGTCATTATTTTAATACTTTAGTTCACAAGTACTTAAGAACATTCAAGGCTTTGCACTAGACGCAAGGTTCAAAAATTTGACTTCATTTGATTGTCCTTGTTTTGTTAATTATGTAAATAGCATTGTGGTTATGTTAGGGGACTACATGTATAGTATTTTTGAGTGAGATGATGTTTAAACTATGCTAACAAGGAACGTATCAGGATTGGGGGGTAGATAATTTAAAACAGTGACTGGCAAGGCATTAACAATCATTGAAAAAATGGGATTGATTCATGGTAGTTCATTATTCTTTATAATTATTTATTTTCCATAATGAGTTTTAAAAATACATTCCATTGCTTTTTTTTTTTTTTTTAAGATTTATTTATTTATACAAGAACCGGGGTACAGGTCAGATGTGCGGGAGGGTGAGAGGATTCACCAGAGACAGAGCGGGGAACAGAACAGGCAGACTGAATGAAATACACTGCTGAGGGGAGCAGCGGGCGAGATAGGAGAGGTCTGCTGAGCCATGTGGGATTCTCGCTGGCTGGCCAGGATCCAACCCGCGCTGCAGAGGCTACAGACAGCTTCACAGTGCGGCGCTCAACCACCTATGCCACCAGGAAGGCCCTCTTCCATTGCTTTTTTTTTTTTTTAATTTATTTTATTTTTTTAGAGGCATGTTTTATTTATTTATTTGTTTGTTTGTTTGTTTTTGTTTATACATGCACTGGGTACAGTCAGAAGCGCGGGAGGGTGAGAGAATTCACCAGAGCCAGAGCGGGGAGCAGGCAGAAGGACCGAAGTACACTGCTGAGGGGAGCAGCGGGCGGCAGGAGAGGTCTGCGCGCCATGTGGGACCCTCCTCCGGTGGCCGGGGAGCAGCCGGGGATCGAACCGGCGTCGCAGAGGCCGCGGGCAGCTTCGCAACCCAGCGCTCAACCGCTGCGCCACCGGGGAGGCCCTCTTCCATTGCTTTTTAATAAAATTGCACTAGCTGCTCTGAAGCTGGATATGTTTTAGTTTCTCTGTCCCATAGGGCATTCTCCAAAAGGCTGAAGCCACTGTTAGTTATAAGACATAGTTATTTATATTGACTTTCTGAAAATAGGATACTTTTTTTTCTTTTGACTCATACAAAAATGAAAGATTTGATAGTGGATGCTTTAATGCTTGTTTGTTTATTTATCCTTTGTAGTAGAAGCAGCTGGAGGAAAGGCCTTGCCATGTGTTGTCGACGTGAGAGATGAACAACAAATCAGTAATGCAGTGGAGCAAGCAGTGGAGAAATTTGGAGGTAGTGCCCTAATTTTGCAGTAATTCTTAAATATTGGTAAAATATAACTAATTTTAATTTTTTAAAGATTTTTTTTTAAATCTTTTTTTTTAAGATTTATTTTTATTTCTACAAGTACTGGGGTACAGTCAGAGGCGTGGGAGAGTGAGAGAATTCACCAGAGACAGAGCGGGGAGCAGAACAGTCAGAGGGATGGAAGACACTGCTGAGGGGAGCAGTGGGTGAGGCAGGAGAGGTCTGCCCTGCCATGTGGATTTCTCCTTGGTTGGCCAGGAATCAACCCACTGTGCCACCTGGGAGGCCCAAGATTTTATTATTTATATAAGAACTGGGGTATAGGCCAGAGGCGTGGGAGGGTGAGAGAATTCACCAGAGAAAAGCGGGGCGCAGAACAGGCAGACGGACTGAAAACACTGCTGAGGGGAGCAGCAGGCAAGACAGGAGAGGTCTGCCACGCCATGTGGGTATCTCCCTGGCTGGCTGGGATTGAACCTGTGCTGCAGAGGCTGTGGACAGCCCCACAGCACCACGCTCAACCTGCTGCGCCACCAGGGAGGCCCTGAAATTTTAATTTTATTTATTTATTTATTTATTTTTAAGATTTATTTTTATTTATTTATGCAAGCACTGGGTACAGTCAGAAGCGCAGGAGGGTGAGAGAATTCACCAGAGCCAGAGCGGGGAGCAGAGCAGGCAGAAGGACCGAAGTACACTGCTGAAGAGAGCAGCGGGCGGCAGGAGAGGTCTGTGCGCCATGTGGGACCCTCCTCCGGTGGCCAGGGAGCAGCCGGGGATTGAACCGGTGCTGCAGAGGCTGCGGGCAGCTTCACAACCCAGCACTCAACCGCTGTGCCACCGGGGAGGACTGAAATTTTAATTTTTAATTAAAAAAAATGTTCTGAGTCTTCAGCGTATAACCAGAAATTAGTTGTTTGCTCAAATAGAAACAGCTTAAAACCATCTGATGATTTTTTTTAATTGTTAAAAATTATTTTATTCCACAGCTACTGGTCTGCAACTGTTCTTATGATGGCAGTTGTGGCATTCCTCTGTGGGAAAGAAACTGTTATAAGATTAAACACCTCTTTCTTAGCAAAACAGAAAGTGGGCATATCTGTGACAAACAAGGTGTATTTTATAGTTTTGTTTGGTTAAGGAGATGGTCCATTTCAAAACAAATTATCATTTGTTAAGTGTATTGGCCTAGGGTGGAAAAACAAAATTGAGTATTTGCATCAAATAAAATTATTTTAATATAACAAAATCTACCACCCAGTGTAGCTCGGACATTGACAATAACATATCTAACTGAGTACTTTCCCCAAATTCCATCTACTTGTCTCTCCCTAATTAATGCAAGCATCATTTGATGATTTTTTTTAAATTTTTTTTTTTTTAGATTTATTTATTCATGCATACGAGAACCCGGGTACAGGCCAGATGCACGGGAGGGTGAGAGGATTCACCAGAGACAGAGTGGGGAACAGAACAGGCAGACGAATGAAATACACTGCTGAGGGGAGCAGCAGCCAAGACAGGAGAGGTCTGCTGCGCCATGTGGGATTCTCCCTGTCTGGCTGGGATCAAACCGGCACTGCAGAGGCTGCAGACAGCTTCACAGCTCTGCGCTCAACCACCTGCGCCACCAGGGGAGGCACCCATTTGATGACTTTTTGATATTTATTATGAAAGTGCAATGTAGTGGTTGGCATTCAGATTCAATAATTCTGACCTCAACACATTTTTGAAGGGGTTGCATCTTTCATCTGTACCTCTACATACACTCCCTATATCAGCCAAATAGTTTACTTCCATCTCCTTACCTTGAATTTTTTGCCTCTTAGCTTTTTCTCTCCTTCCTGAGTCTCCTCCAATGCTCTTTTCTTTACCGCTAATCCTTAAATGTCCCCTTTAATTAAAATTCACTTCTCCTTTGAATTAACAAGCAAAAAATTCAAGGGAAGGAGATGGGGAGAAAAATCTTCCAATACATTTTGCTACCTGTTGTTGAGAGGGGCATCTGAAACACTTCTATCCTCTTGCTAAATTTACAAATTGGCAATGGAGTTGCCTCTATGTTGAAGTCTTTCCTAAGATTTCTTTTCTCCTCCTTGGTATTCATTTTAATGTATTTAAATTATTTGCTTTCCATTTATCCATTAACTTATGCTTTACTGGCGTAACAACGCAGAATTAAGAGTGATCTTGATTCAGCAGTCAGCAGCTACCCTGTCCTAATAACAATGGACACCACATTTGTAAGAGTTGATTCTTGACCAGCCCTTTGTTTCTTCCCTGTTCTTTTCTCATACAGATCCCAAGTCTTTATTTATTTATTTTGATATTTAAAGAGCAGGTTTATTAGAAAAGGGATAGGATAGTAAAAGACACTTGCATAGACACAAGCGGGCAGAAAGAGCTTCCCCGGATGGCACAGGTTTGCTAAGAGAGGCCTTCATGGTTGCAGGCAGGCGGCCTTGAGGAGAGCGGCCTCTTCTGAGGGAGGTCAGTGAAGAGAAGTCCTGGCATGGTACAGGTCACGGGCTGGCAGGGAAGCTGCTGCCCTGCGGAGGGAGAGAGTTGGTGAAAAGAAGCACCTGCATAGTCACAGGTGGGTAGAAGGAGTGCTGCCTCAAGCCTTTAATTTTTGTTGGGTTTTAGTTCCAAACTCTGATTGCCACTTTAGGGCTTTCTGTTTTGCAATTTTGTAGGTATTTTAATTCTGTCTTTCAATGAAGTGTTGACCTTTGTCTTGACATTTCTCTGTGCTAGAGAATTATTCTGAAGCAAAAGTCCTGAAAAGATGATGATTTCAGAACTGTGCTCTCAAGTGTCTGTGCCATGTGGTCCAGCTCCTTGTCTTCTGTTATCTTTGGAGTTTTTTCAGGTCTTGAGTAAATTATACTAGTTCATAAACCACAGAAACATTCCTTACTGCCTTTTTTTTTCTTTTCTGCAGCAGGCATATGCATGCCTTTTGTGTATCATGCCCTACTGTTGTTCCCTGATCTATTTTAATTTGGCCCATCTGAATTTATTTATTTTTATTTTATTATCTTTTTTTAACTTTATTTTAAACTTTTTTTTTAAAGATTTATTTATTTTTATACAAGAACTGGGGTATTGGCCAGATGCACGGGAGGGTGAGAGGATTCACCAGAGACAGAGCAGGGAACAGAACAGGCAGACTGACGAAATACACTGCTGAAGGGAGCAGCAGGCGAGACAGGAGAGGTCTGCTTCACCATGTGGGATTCTCGCCGGCCGACCGGGATCTAACCCACGCTGCAGAGGCTGTGGACAGCTTCATGGTGCGGTACTCAACTGCCTGTGCCACCAGGGAAGCCCCCCATCTGAATTTAGAAATTTTGATCTGCCTCTTAACTTGGATACCTTTCTTTGTCATTGACAAGCCAAATACAGTTTGCCACATTAGTGGACCTTTATTCATTATCTGTGTTCTTTCTTCCTTTTTTTTTTTTAAAGATTTATTTATTTATGCATACAAGAACTGGGGTATAGACCAGAGGTGTGGTGTTGAGAGGATTCGCCAGAGACAGAGTGGGGAACAGAACAGGCGGATTGACTGAAATACACTGCTGAGGGGAGCAGCGGGCAAGGCAGAGGAAGTCTGCTCGGCCATGTGGGTCACCTCCCTGGCTGGGGATCACACTCATGCTGCATTGGCTGGTGTTAGTTTGATAGTGCTGACACTTTAACCCCTGCACCACCAGAGAGGCGCTTCTTAGCTACTTTTTTGCTTTTGAAACCAGTTGTTTCCTCTGGTAACATAATTGTCACCGGTAATCACACAGTGAGAGAGGTGAAGTCAATGAAGTATGGATTGGCCCAAGGAAAGCATTGACTGGATCAGCTCTTGGTGGCTGCATCCCCGAGTAAGCGGATTCCACATGAGTGGTAGGTGTATGTACCCATCAGTCTAGCATCTCACTGACCTTGCTTCGCTTCTACCTGGCTTCTCCTTCTCTGATTATTGTCTTCCTTGCCTCTTGGGCCCAAGGAGAGTATGTTATGTAGAGTGTCCTTTTGGTGATTTGTCTTGGCGATGTGGTCTAGCAAACTCTAGATCTATTTTTCTTTTTGCAATTTCTGAAACCAGAGAGGAACTCTCATTTAAACAAGGGCTGTAGAGGGGAAGGGGAACATGTTTGTTTGGATGTGTGGCACACTTTGGAAGGATGGTTAAGAGGAGGGGAAACTTTAAGGAAGGTGACCTTAGGCTCTTGGAAATGAGAAGGGAGGACCAGGATGTAATAGAATGAAAGGATAGGGACTCCAAGCCCCTAAAGACTTAAGCTTCCTTATAGCTTCACGGGATGCTCTGGTGATTAACCATCTTCATTGTACAGTGAAAGTCATTTGGGTGCTGCTTTGACACAGCTACTGAGTCTTGCATTGGTGTATTGGTCAATCATTATGTAAAAGAAGTATTTGTGCGTCTGCTTAGGGTTCACCTATATCCAGTAAATGCTTTTACTTTTTTAAAAATAAAGTTTAACATTTATTTGAAAACAGGAATTGATATTTTGGTGAATAATGCCAGTGCCATTAGCTTGACCAACACATTGGAAACACCTACAAAGAGAGTGGATTTGATGATGAATGTCAACACCAGAGGCACCTACCTTACGTAAGTTAAAGAAACGTGGGGAAGAGCTTTGCAGTGTGTTCTGAGAACAAGTTGTAAACACATTTGAACCAGTTTGGCAACACAGCTTAAAATCTATTCAGTTCTTCAAAAGTTCTAAATGTGCTCCAAGTCAGTAGACAGTATTTTAAATATATAGTTTAATTCAGAGTTCCTTTTCTCTGTGAATCTAATAGACTGTAGCTCAAGCATTTAAACATTTGCATGAATAAATACATATATACATACCAAGTTTTCTGATTACTTGAGCCAACAATAGTCTCTCCTTCCTCTGAAAAACACTTTGGGTTTTAGTTACAGATATAATAGAAGCTCATTATGAATCACATTTTAATATAACCAACAAAAGGCTGATGTTCTTTTGAGTGATGTCAGGAGAAACGTAGAAGACACAATGAAAGCAAACTTAGTCCTGATCTGTTCTGGATTGATCAGATGGTGTACCTTTTTGTTTATCTGTCTGTTGGTTTATCAGTTTATTTGCCGTCAGGTTCAAGCATTTTTCATTTGGACATAACAACAAGTCAACATAGAACTTATTGGTCTGCCTTATGTGTGCATAAGATACATGGTAGCACTGTGGGATTTATAGTCAAGCTACTTTGAGGAGGGTTCAAATCCTACCCCACCTTTCATGACTTGCTATCTCAGAACATTGTTCAGATAGCTTCACCTCTTGCAGATTCAGTTTCCTCATTTGTAAAATGAGGAATGGTCAAGCTGGATGTCATAGGATTGGTCATGAAGGTTAAATGTAAAATTTGATAAGTTAGTCCTGAACTTTGATTTCAGACATGTTTTATTGGGTCAGCAAAATTTTGCCCTGACAGTGTGAACATTTGTTTTCATTAGTTACCTACATTAAAAATTTCACTAGCTGCCTACATTAAAAAATTTGAAGATTTTAAAAAAATTCATATTTCTGGTCCTGAGATATTGCAGAGTAAGCTACCAAGACCGAATTCCCACATTGAAACAATTACCTGCCATAGCCGGTGTCTGAAGTATCTGCTGTCTCATTAGATGGCATGTGAGCTCTCTTATCTTCTGGATGCTGATGGAAGGTTAAAAAGTTGCTATTCATCCTTGTGCTTTCACTGTTGTTTTTATATTTAAGAGGGTAGTAAAATATTTCTCTTACCCAGGTCTATATCTGAAGTAAGAAAATTAGTCATATACCAAGAGGGCCATATGTTCAAATAAAATGAGTGAGAACTTCTTTGTAGATGTGGACCATATTTCTATAAATTCAGTATGGAAGGATGAATGGAAACTGTAGTCAAATCAAGCTGTAGTAAGAACTATGGCAAATGTAGAGAAAAAATTATGATGAATAACTTCACTAGAAAAAAGGGCTCATATTTTAATAGCATTTGTGCTTATTTTCAAATATAATAACCACTGCTACTGTGTGTTGCAGTTGTGTGTTACATGAAAAAATCTTTTATAGTTGATAACTTTATGAAAGATTTTGGATTGAATGCAAAAACTTATTCAAACAAATATTTGAAATATAACCCTAACTAGGAATATTCTTGCTCATCATGTTGAATTAAGGCTCAGAAGGGCACATTGTGTCAAAAACTTAAATCATTTGTGTCAATTTCTATTGTTGATGATGAAGTCTTGCATATAAATATTCCACCCACCTTATGGTGTCAGGAGAATTTTTATGTGATTAAGAAGTTTTTAGATTGAGTACCCATGAAATGAACATCTGAAAATAATCTGTTAAGTATTGAGAATTATCTTAGAAAGTTTAATATAGATTTGTCAAAATTAACCGCAACTATAGACAGTGCTGCTGTGACTGTCAGTGTTTACTTGAAACTTCTCTAGAAATATTTTGCAAGGGTGCAGAAATCAGATTTGTTCATTGTATTATTCATTAGGAATTGCTGTGGGTAAAAAAGTTATAAACAGACTAATTCTAAATATACTTATATGAGTTGAACCGTAGACATTTCAGTGCTTTATTCATATTTAATACAAACATGATCCTAATGAAAAACTTGGGTGGCCACAGCATATTACTGAAGAGTTTGTTTTTAAGATGAAAGAAAGCAACTTTTTTTTGCCACTCAAAAGGAAATTCCTGACTCAGTTCCAAAACAAAGATTGGATCAAGGACTTGGTCTTTCTCGATGACATTATGACATAACATAAACACAGATGTGTGATTCTCTTGCTCATTCTTTGTGAAATTGTGCTTTGGAAAACCCATTTGGTCAGAAAAGTTTCGTCCACTTTCCTATGCTGAGGTCATTATCCAGAAGTGAAAGCGATGGCCTAAACTACATTCCTACAATTGTAGATTTGAAGCTCAAATTCAAAACAATACAGAAAAAAAAATCCCTATTTTAAACTATAGGAAAATAAACTAATGTCAGTTCTATGAAGAAGTGCAAATAGAATATCTATGCTGTAAGACACTCAAGTACTAAACACTAAGTGTGAGTATGTTGGGAAACAGATCTCCAATTATCCCATAAATAGGTACCCTAAAAGTAAATGCCCCCTTTTTAGCAACAACTGTTGAAAGTGCCTACATATATGAATAGCTAAGTATTACTCCAACTGAATGCAGATTGCACTGCCAAATCAAAGACCTGTCATTGAACCAAAGAAAAAGTATTAGGGTTTTGGCCCCCTGTGAAGGGTATATGTTATAAAAGGGAAACTTACAATGAAACATTTCCATTTTAACTTGTATTTGAAAATATATATATATGTATATATACACTCCATATTATTAATGTGTTTGTAACATGTTAAATGCTGATAAAAATTCAGTAGTAATCCCTTCCAGCTCCATCCATGTTGCTGCAAATAGCATGAGTTTATCTTTTTTGTTTGCTGAGTGTGTACTGGAAACTGTAGTGATACTGACTGCATTTGGTTTATAAACTTGAAAAGATGTTGCAGATTATAGGAAGAATGTTGTACATTTGTTAGTTAAAAAAAAACAAACCTGACTTGAAAGAACTGACTAGTTCATAGCCCTAGAAGTTATTGAATGTGGAGTGAAACTAAAATAAAGCCATTACATTAGTAAATTATATGTTATCAATCTACTACATGTTATAGCTTCATAATTAAAAACTTAAAAATATTGCACCTGAGCCTTTTGTAAAATAAATTGCCTATCTTTATGAACTGTTCTTTTTCGAAAAGAAATAAAAATAAATGTTGTTTCCAAAGGCATATTGCATTGTATATTGGTCTAAATTAAATCTGGGAATGTATTGGGAGATAGGCTGTTAAATTACAGTTCCAGCAGAGTAGGAACTGTACCTACTAAGATGAAATAATTCAGCACATGTAATAATAATGATGCAATGGTTTATTTCATGCTTAGCATATGCGCTCTTTTAAGTACCTCATTTATATCATCTCATTTTAATCCCTAGTTATTCCTAGATGATACTAGGTATTACTAACATTTACAGATGATAATAGTGAGAATTAGAATGCTATATATTTTGTCCAAGATCACACAATGAAGGGACAGAAGGAAGGACAGACCCAGGTCTGTCCACCTTGAACATACTCATGTTCTTTAAACAGTGCTGGCTGTGTTGGCTGAAAAGTACATTAACTGTTTGCTGTAGAGAGAGAAAGAGAGAGAGAGGGAGAGAGGTTGTAGTTGAGGATAATATCATTTGGGTGTAAGGCTAATGTGTCAAGGATTTGATAGTTTTCCTCAAGCAGATCATATTGAGGCCATTAAGCAAAGGTTCAAAGGATGAAAATTAGTTGCTTTTCCTTCATTCTAGAAAAATAAAAAGAAACAATAACCCCCTACAGATTACTAGCCAAGTTTAACTCCTCTGTAGAAGTAGTTTAAAATACCACCTTAAAAAGTAACATTGTTAGAATGCTATTAACTTTTCTTTTCTTTTACTTTCAGATCTAAAGCTTGTATTCCTTATTTGAAAAAGAGTAAAATTGCCCATATCCTCAATCTCAGTCCACCTCTGAACCTAAATCCACTGTGGTTCAAACAACATTGTGGTAGGTGGTATGAGGAGGGGATGGTTTGTTTAGTTAATTTGTTTTGTATTAAATCAGTGTGTGATGTAATCACATTTTGAAAATAGTATTCAACATTTCATTTTATACACAGAATCCCAGTAATAATTTAGAAAGTAGATTCTTAATCTTTTTTCTGGAATTTTTAAAATTGAGGTATAATTTATATTCAATAAAATGCACAGCTCTTAATGGTTCAGGTTGATGAGTTTTGACAAATATATATTCCTGTATAACCAACATCCAAATCAAGATACAGACTTCCATCATTCCAAAAAACTTCTTAAGTTCCAATGGGTGTGTTATTGTATGCAATTTATTCTTCAATAAAATTGGTTAAAAATTATCCATGAAATATTTTACCTTTACAGTTAACTAATGATTGACTTAAAGTGGATATACTAACAAGATTTATGTGAAAGTGCTTTAAAATAGTTGTATCAGATAGTCCTTATTTCACCATAATTCACTAAAATTTGGAAAGGTGCTTGGAATAGGACCCCACAAAGAAAAACTGAAAATTCTTTACAATTGACTAGGTTAAACAAATTTGCAACCTAGCAGTAGTTTCTCTTTAAATGGTCACTTTATTCTTTATGAAGAAAAATATAGACTAAGTCTATGTTAAATATAAATTAAATCTATATAAAGAAAATATAGATTAATGTAACATCTGCCATAACATTAAGAGAAATGAAATTTATTACTCTCGTTTCCTTTACTTAAATATTAGGATGGAAATATATTAAACTAGCTCATTCCTGTTCAGCTACTTCCATAAAAACTGTTCTTTTTAAAAAAGTCCACTAAAAAATTGTTTTGAAAAAAGTTGTTTTGTTTTTAGTATTAAAGAAATCTGAAAAAATACATCAGGGAGGAAATAGTAATAGAGAGAAATTGGTTATTTATACTCACAAATTCATTTGTTCTTGAATTAAATTAATTTTTTTGCGGTTTCTTTCAGCTTACACCATTGCTAAGTATGGTATGTCTATGTGTGTGCTTGGAATGGCAGAAGAATTTAAAGGTGAAATTGCAGTCAATGCATTATGGCCTAAAACAGGTGTGTACTTAAAAAAATTCATTTGTTGGATTCTCATTTATTGTCTGTGTCAGTTTTGAATTGCTGTGGTGTGTTGGGTGTGTTGGGTGGGGTAGGAATGTTGGGTGTGGGTAGGAATGAGTAGACTGTCAAAGATATCCTCATTCTGTCAGTTGGCATTTTTGACTTTCCAAAATAGTAAGCAATTCTGAGCATTCTAATTAAGAAATCTGATTGAATCTTGCTATAAGTCCAGGAAGGAGTTTTATATCAAGCATTGTTGTATAGTTTAAAAAACAGGTGTTTTCTGCTCTGTTGTGTGTGTAGAACATTAGGCAAATTCCTTAAGCTCTTTCGATCTTGTTTTTAGTCCCTGAGAACTAGAGATAAGCTGTGCTTGCTTGTTACTGTTATTGTAATATTTGATTTGGAGTTACGTGTGTGTTTGTTTTCTCTCCAGCCATACACACTGCTGCAATGGATATGCTAGGAGGATCTGGTGTTGAAAGCCAATGTAGAAAAGTTGATATCATTGCCGATGCTGCATATTCAATTTTCAAAAAGCCAAAAAGTTTTACTGGCAATTTTATTATTGATGAAAATATCTTAAAAGAAGAAGGAATAAAAAATTTTGACATCTATGCAATTAAACCAGGTAATGCCTACAGTTTTAAAGTAGTGACAATGTTTTCCCATATTTTCCGCAATAAACACACATCTGTCTTGTGTGCGTTTTGTGTGGTTTTAAAATTGGTATGTTCTTTTAAATCTGCCCTCCCAATGAAGGGAAAAACTCACTGACAAAAATTTAAAAGGAGAGAAAGGAAAAATAGGAGTTGAGGGCTTTTGAAATGATACGCAGATATAGATGGTCACATCAGCAAGTATTTCCAAATCTTGAAACCAAAAAATGAAAATTAGTTTTTTTTTTTAAAGATTTATTTATTTATGCATATAAGAACTGGGGTACAAGGCCAGAGGTGTCGGGGGTGAGAGGATTCACCAGAGACAGAGTAGGGAGCAGAACAGGAGGAATGACTGAAATACACTGCTGAGGGGAGCAGCAGGTGGAAGTCAGGAGAGGTCTGCTGAGCCATGTGGATTGCTCCTTGGCTGGCCGGGGATCGAACTCGTGCTGCAGAGGCTGCTTCATAGTGCGGTGTCCAACCCCTTGTGCCACCAGGGAGGCCCTGAAAATTAGTTTTTAAGTTTGGCTTTAAAAATCACACAGTTAAAAAGATGAAGGTTATGGTAACAGATGGCATGGTAGTAGGTGTTTTACAAAATCTTTAAAATTTAAGATTATAGACCCTTTCAAATGTTTGTCTCTTAAGTACAGTCTCTGAGTAACTTAAGGGTAGAGGGTGAAGGTAAGTGAGGAGTCTGGCTTATGTGCAAAAGTGATTTGAAAAGTTCTCAAAAGGCTCCCTTGTTCAAAAACTACTGTTCTTCTCTAAAATTGCAGGTCGGGGGGCCTTCCCAGTGGCACAGAGGGTTGAGCGAGTCGCTGTGGGGCTGTCTGCAGCCTCTGCAGCACGGTTTCGATTCCCAGCAGGCCAGGGCGATACCCAAATGGCGTGGCAGACCTTTCCTATCTCGCCCACTGCTCCCCTCAGTGGTGCTTTTGGTCCATCTGCCTGTTCTGCTCCCTGCTCTCTATCTGGTGAATCCTCTCACTCACCTGTGCCTCTGGCCTGTACCCCAGTTCTTGTATAAAAATAAATCTAAAAAAAAAAATAAAATAAAATTGCAGGTGATGATAATGCAATTTTACATTATGTAAAAGATCATACTAAATAATAGACACGATAGCCATAAATTGAAGTTGTATTTATTTGTACTAAAGCATGTCTTTCAGAGTATTTATTAGGCTGAGCATCTAGGTGACAGAAACCACATTTGTATTTGTATCATCCCTGTTCATCTCTTCAATTTATTTTTTTTAAAGATTTATTTATTTATACATACAAGAACTGGGGTATAGGCCAGAGGTGTGGGGGGTGAGAAAACTCACCAGAGACAGAGTGGGGAATAGAATAGGCAAATTGACTGAAATACACTGCTGAGGGGAGCAGTGGGCGAGACAGGAGAGGTCTGCTGCGCCTTGAGGTTATCTCCCTGGCCAGGGATCGAACTAGTGCTGCAGTGGCTGCAGATAGCTTCATAGATTGTGTCTTAACCCCTTGTGCCACCAGGGAGGCCCCCATCTCTTCAATCTAAAGTGAACTGAATTAAATAGCTCTTTATAGTTTTACAAAGCACATTAATGTACATTCTCTATTTAACCTTCATGGCATTCCTGTGATGGGAGAAACAGTTGCGAAGCTGCCCGCAGCCTCTGCGGTGCCGGTTCGATCCCTGGCTGTTCCCTGGCCACTGAAGGAGGGTCCCGCATGGCGCGCAGACCTCTGCCGCCCGCTGCTCCCCTCAGCAGTGTACATCGGTCCTTCTGCCTGCTCTGCTCCCTGCTCTGGCTCTGGTGAATTCTCTCACCCTCCCGCACTTCTGACTGTACTCAGTGCTTGTATGTATGTATGTATGTATAAATAAACAAACAAACAAATAAACAAATATTTAAAAAAAAGAAAAAGAATGGCGTTTGAAAGAAGACAACCCAAGTTCAGATTACAAGTCGGCTGCTCACTAGCTTGTGACTTTAGGCACATTACCTACTTTCTCTGAGCCTCCTTTTCCTTTTTGGCAAAATTAAGAGAATAATATTTTCCACACAGGCTTTTTGTAAGAGCTAAATGTAATAATGTGTCAAATGTGCTTGGCGCAGTGCCTGGCATATGGTACAGTCACAGTATTCAGTGATTAATATTTACAGTAGAAAGACAGGCTGAAGGAGATTAATTAAGCCTTTGCCCAAGAGCAGACAGCTAATAAGTGGCAGAATCTAAACCAGACCCAGGACTTGTGGGTCCTGGTACAGTGTAGTTATCACTTTAGATTTTAAAGACAGTGTTTAATTTAAATTAAAACTCCTATCAAGTGTTGAGAACTTAATATGAATAGATGCTATTGGAAGTGTTAGGATATAACGAAGAGTAGTGCTTTCAAGCCCTCCAGTATTTTTAATCTTCTGAAAGGGAAAAATAGAGACAGATGGGAAGCAAGTCCTTAATCCTTAATGAGGAATCCCCTTCTCTCAGGGAGCCAGGTAAGAAATGAGACCTAAGCACTTTGACATGATGTAGGAGAGAACAGTTTCTTAGAAAAATGAGAAAAGTAAAGGCTCCAGGAAGAGCTTAACATAAAGGGAACTTTTCAGTTGGATCTTAGAGATGAAACTTGCCATAGGGATAACTGGGTTCTGGGAAAAGTAGCTTGATGAAGGTCAAGTCTTGTGACAGTTCATGGGTGGTCTTTTCCATTACACAAGAATGAATGGTCATTGAAAATACAATGCTTATTAAACAGTTGTTAAAATCAATATAGTAAAGGTCTTATATTAACCTGATTATTTTTGGGATCAATTTTTCAGGCCATCCGCTATTACCAGATTTCTTCTTAGATGAATATCCAGATGCAATTACCAAGAAAATGGACTCATCTGGTAAGATACAGATCATATTTTACGTAGGAAAATATGATTTCTCCCAAAAGATAGAACTGGACATTTCTGTTTTGTGCTTTTAAACCATTTGGTAATTTATTTATTTTATTTATGGAGACAACAGCTGGGCTGAAGGCCAGAGGTTTGGAGAGGTGAGAGGATTCACCAAAGGATTCACTGAGTGAGGAGCAGAACAGGTAGATCTACTAAAATACACTGCTGAGAGCAGTGGGCGAGATAGGAGAGGTCTACTGCGCAAAGCTGCCATAACTTTGTACTGCTGAGACAACCCCTTGTGCCACCAGGGAGGCCCCATTTGGTAATTTAAACTAATAAGCAAGTAATGTGAATCTTAGTTATTAACTCTAGCAAAGTCTGTTCCCCCCCCCCCACTAGTAAAAAGTTCTTAATGTTTAAAAGTTGTCTGAATAAAAACCTTTATCAGGTTTTCTTTTGTTCCATTTGTGCAGTCTGTACGTTTTCAGATCTTGTGTTTATGTTGATGTGTTGTTGATGTGTTACTTTATTTTGAGGAAATCCAAGTGTATTCATCTCCATTCTTAAAGTTTGTGGGCTGTGACTACTGCACACATCTCCATTCTTTTTTTTTTTTTTTTTTTATATATAGAGGCATGTTTTCTTTCTTTCTTTATTTGTTTGTTTTTGTTTATGCATGCACTGGGTACAGTCAGAAGCGCGGGAGGGTGAGAGAATTCACCAGAGCCAGAGCGGGGAGCAGAGCAGGCAGAAGGACCGAAGCACACTGCTGAGGGGAGCAGCGGGCGGCAGGAGAGGTCTGCGCGCCATGTGGGGCCCTCCTCCGGTGGCCGGGGAGCAGCCGGGGATGGAACTGGCGCCGCAGAGGCCGCGGGCAGCTTCGCAACCCAGCGCTCAACCGCTGCGCCACCGGGGAGGCCCCCACATCTCCATTCTTAAAGTTTGTGGGCTGTGACTACTGCATGAGTGAGATTAATTTCAAAGGAGGTTTTGGTTTTACTTTGTTTTGTTTTTATAATTTGGAAGTTACACCCACCTTGAATTGGTCCAACATTTAGTCCTTGTATTCTGGCATTATGCTACTAGCTTGCTGACAGATGAAAGCCTCTTCAATGAATACCCATGAGAAGAATTTTTCTCCTGCATTTACAAGAATGTCTGTACTGTTTCTGGGCCCTCCCCTTATTTTTATCTTACAAACTCTGAATCTCCTAAGTGATCATATAATCTTTAGATGGCTGTTAGGAAGTTTAGGAACAAATTCCCTATAACCTTTAGCAAGCCTATGGAACCTTACTACAGTGTGTTTTAGTGTCAAACCTTATTATTGGCTTAATCTTAATCTTTTCTACCTTTATTTTTTTTTAAAGATTTATTTATTTTTATGTATACCGGAGGTGGGGTGCAGACCAGAGGTGCGGGGGAGGGGTGAGAGGATTCACCAGAAACACAGGAACAAAACAGGCAGATTGATTGAAATACAATACTTAGGGGAGCAGTGGGCGAGTCAAGAGAGGTCTGCTGTGCCATGTGGGTAGCTCGCTGGCCGGGGATCAAAGTGCTGCAGTGGCTGAGGATAGCTTCATAGGTTGTGTCTTAACCCCTTGTGCCACCAGAGAGGCCCCAAAATTAAAGTTTTAAATATAAATTTAGGGTCCTCCCTGGTGGCACAGAGGTTGAGTGCTGTACTGCAAAGCTGTCCGCAGCCTCTGCAGCACCGGTTTGATTTCCTGCCGGCCAGGGAGAACCCCACATGGCACAGCAGACCACTCCTGCCTCTCCTGCTGCTCCCCTCAGCAGTGTCTTTGGTCCGTCTGCCTGTTCTGCTCTCTGCTCTGGCTCTGGTGAATTCTCTCACCCTCCTGTGCTTCTGATCTATACCCCAGTTCTTGTATAAAACAAATAAATAAATCTTAAAAAAATATATATATAAATTTAGCTCTTTGATTTGGTTGTTACATGGATGTATCCATTTTAAAACAGGGTTGTCAGTCTCTTTCTAAAAAATCCTCTTACAAGATGGGAGAAATTAATTAGATAGCTTCTCCAAATTAGGTAAATCTAAAATCCTGGTCTTTGCCCAGCATCCGAAGATTGCATCTATCTTTTGGAGAAAGATATATGTGGACTGAGATTATTTAAATGCCACATTTAAATAATAAGAATCACTTATTGATCACATATATTCATTTTCTTTTTCTTTTTTTTTTTTTAAAGATTTTATTTATGCATACAAGAACTGGGGTACAGGCCAGAGGCATGGAGGATGGGAGGATCCACCAGAAATAGAGTGGGGAACAGAGCAGGCAGATTGACTGAAATACCCTGCTGAGGGGAGCAGCAGGCGAGTCAGGAGAGGTCTACTGTGCCATGTGGGTTGCTCCCTGGCCAGGGATCAAACTCGTGCTGCAGGGGCTGCGGATTGCTTCATAGGTTGTATCTTAACCCCTTGCACCACCAGGGAGGCCCCATTTTGTTTTTCAACAAGTATTTATTGGATATCTCTTAATGTGCCCATTGCTGTGCTAAGTACATTGCATACCTGGTCTCATTTAATACTTACAATCCTACAAGACAGGTATTATCTTCCTGTTATGTCTGAAATCACACAGTAGGCAAGTGGCAGAGCCAGGATTTAAACTCATTCTCTGATTCCAAAGCCTGTATCCTTAACCTGTAAACTTAAATTGCTTTCCTAATACCTGAATACATAAGGTCCTTAAATTAGCATATTTCTCTCCCATTAATCTAAGTTATTAATTTATAATGAGGAGTTGCCATCTCACAGACTAAATATGTAGCTGCTGTGATCAGCCTATTTTCTCCCTTGGGCATAATTAAGTAGGAAGCAGAATCATAATCAGAGGGTTGTTTCATGACCATGGAATCAGAACAAGAGGGTTAGATAAGTAAAATATAAGACAAATGTTTATTGGCATCAGGCTTTGATAGAAATGGTTTTGCTTATGGTATCAGAATATGTCAGGTGTATTAATATGATCCCTATATCCATCTTCACATGAGGGATCCTCTCATCCTTGAGGTCATGTTATCAAATTCCTTTCTCATATAATAGGGAGGGAACATTTACTTCCATAGCTCTCTTTTCCCTATTCTCCCTGGTTCAGTTAACTGCAGTTCTACTTGGCATTTTCTGTAGATGAATATGTTCACACAGGTAATAGCCAAGTATATCTGCCTGGGATCCAACTTATCTCTTTCATTTGATTTTTCATCTCCATATTTAGATCTATTATATATTGACTTCACAGTTTACCTCTCAGAGTTCAGTGTTTGTTTCTCTTCTTTTTTTTTTTTTTTTTTTTGGTGTGTGTAGAAGAACTGTGGTGTAGGCCAGAGGTGCTGGGTGTGTGTGAGAGAGAGGATTCACCAGAGACAAAGTGGGAAGCAGAACAAGGCAGATCTACTGAAATACACTGCTAAGGGGGCCTCCTTGGTTGTGCAAGGGGTTAAGATGCAACACTATGAAGCTAGCTGCAGCCACTGCAGCATGAATTCAGTCCCCAGCCAGGGAGCTGCCCACATAGCACAGCAGACCTCTCCTGACTTACCTGCCGCTCCCCTCAGCAGTGTATTTCAGTGGCTCTGCCTGTTCTGCTCCCCACTCTGTCTTTGGTGAATTCTCTTACACACCCCCCCACCCCACAGCTCTGGCCTGTATCCCAATTCCTGTATGTATAAATAAATAAATCTAAAAAAATAAATAAATAAAATAAATCTTTAAAAAAAAAAGAAATACACTGCTAAGGGGAGCAGTGGGCAAGACAGGAAGTCTTGCTGCATCATATGTGGGTTAGCTCCCTGGCTGAGGATCAAACTCAGGCCATAGCAGTGATAGTGCTGAGACTTAACCCCTAGGCCATCAGGGAGGCCCTGTCCCTCGTTTCTAAAGAGGAAGAGACTTAGCTTTCTATTTGCAACCACTGCAGTTAACAGGTTGATTGTACCTTTTCTGGTATTTGGTATTTCAGTCAATGGTGTCGGGACAGATGCGTGTGTGTGTGTGTATATATATATGTGTTTTACATAATGTATATGTAATTGTATAATGTATGTGTACATAATTTCAAATTAATGCTTTTTTTCTCATGATAAAAGAAGTACTGTCAACTAATTTTTTTATGCCCTATAGTTATCACCATCTTATTGGCCCATTTTTTTTTGTTCTTTTCATCTGCATTCTGGGAGACCTTTTCATTTGTAATCTGTCTTATTGAAAAGATTTTCTACACTTGCATCTCTGTTCCATATTGCCTCTAGTGTTTATTTTAATTTTGCTGTTGTAATTTTAGTTTCTGATGTTTCCCATTTCCTTTTCATCTCAGCTATTTATACATGACTTTCTGCCCCTATTTCTTGTAGTTTTCTTGTGAAGGAAATCTTGTGTCATAAAGAATTATTTTTAGAGATGGACTTAAATTCTTAGAATAACCTTGGGACTACATTGCTTTTTTCTTTTTTTTTTTTCCTTTAAAGATTTATTTATTTATGCATACAGGAACTGGGGTACAGGCTGGAGGTGTGGGTGGTGAGAGGATTCACCAGAGACAGAGTGGAGAATAGAACAGAGAGATTGACTGAAATAAACTGCTGAGTGGAGCAGCAGGAGAGTCAGGAGAGGTCTGCTGTGCCACGTGGGTAGCTCCCTGGCAGGCCTGGGATTGAACTCGTGCTGCAGTGGCTGCGGACAGCTTCATAGGTTGCATCTTAATCCCTTGCACCACCAGGGAGACCCTACATTGCTTTTTTCATAAGCATCAGGTGACTTTTTTACTCCTGTTAACTCACCCCTCATTTAGGAGACATCTCTAGAGCCCTTGTTAGTCATTTGACAGGGATGTTCATGTTGCTTTTGCTTCCATCCCTGTCCATTGGTGGAAATCCTTTCTCAGAGCTGTCATTATTATTACCAGCTAGTGCCAGTATGTAAGGGTGACAGGGACTTTTTTTTTTCTTTTAAAGAACAGGTTTATTAGAAAAGG